TTTTTTTTTTTTTTTTTTTTTTGTATCAGGGATTGAACTTGGGACCTTGCACTTGGCAAGGCAGGAGGCAGAACCACTGAGCTAAATCCTGGCCCTCACTTTTGTAATTTTGACGCTGCAAAGCCTCTGGTTCTGTTGCTTCTTGTGATGCCCTCAGGCCTTACTTTCTATTGTCTTTTTCCAAAGTTCTTGGCCTTTTAATGTTAAATCTTTTCAGCAACCAAGTTTTCCTCTGTTCTATTTTTGCAGGCCCAACTTTACTGAAGCTTCCTTTCTGGCCAAACTCAAAACGTTTTAAATCATCCTGCTGGGCTCTTTATTCTTGTTTCTTGACATAAATCTGACTAAAATCCCCCAACAATCACCATGGCACCACCTCAACATTAGACTGCCTTGAAATTTCTTCTACCAGATTGATCAGTCCACCCTTAATCTCAATCTCAGGGAAAGTCTCTGGACACAAACAAAATGCAGACAAACTTTCTGCCAATGTGCGACAAACATCATCTTGCAGCTAGTGCAGTCCTTCCCAGGAGAAACCTCCTGAGCCTGGTCTTTATGGGTTTTCTGGTCTGCTGAGCTCTGACCAGAATCTCCCATACATTAGAGCCTATGGTGTTCTAGCTCTACTTCTTCAGCAGCATCTCAGAACCTTTCCTAACTCTTTCCCTTCCCATCAAGCCAGTTCCAAAGGCTCTTAAGCCACATGGCCAGGTAATGTCACAGCAATGACCCCAATGAAGCAGGTTTGAGGCCAGCCTAAACCACAGAGACCCTGTTTAAAAAAAAAGGGCAGAATGCCGAGTACTATTATTACTTTATTGATATGTTATGATTACTATTAGTCATCCTATCATCTAATTCGGACAATATGACTGTTCTTAAATAATCTGAGACAACTCAACTTTAATCATACAATATATAATTGACACTGTTATGGTTTCTATGTAGATATCTCTTCAAAACGTCATGCACTCATAGGTGGGGCTTTGGGAGGTGACTGGATCATGGGACAGATACTTCTCCGCGAATTGTCCACTAATTAGTTTATAACTAACAGTGATCTGGGGTGTGGCGCTTCCTCACTCTGGATCTCTGTTTCCTGTCTGCCATACCATAAGCAGCTCTCTGCTAAGCAAGCCCATTATCAACTGAAACCTCTACAAACCTTTAGGTTGTAGGTGTTGAGTATCTTGTCTAAGGAATGAGAAAGTAACTAACAGACATTAAGTAATCTTTAACATCAACATCCTTAGTATTCAATTTTCCAATCACAGGACAGCAACAAGTTCTGAAAAATTACATAAAGGAATCTGCATAAAGCTTTAACCAAAAACATTAAGGGATATATGTGTATGTTTTCTCAAACTAGGAAAACAAAAATAAAATTTTGAAAAATTTAAAGACGTGAATGCATAGACACTGGACATTCCTGTACTGTTGTAAAAATCTTACGACATGAAGGAAAAATTCAGTCTAACACAATCTAAGCTTTTGTTTTATAATCTGGCAGCTACCTACAATGATGGGTCTCAGTGACCCTAGTCTCCCGATAGTCAAGCCTTTGTGTAGGTGCCTCACATACTGAAGCAGGGCTGTTTGGTATGACAAACCACTGGCAGAGATTGGTAGAAGTGATGATGTGTCACTTCTGACGCCAAATCATAAAAGACACTGGGACATCTGTCTTACTCCTCCATGGATTATTTGCTCTGGGGGAAGTCTTTTACTATTATGTAAGGACATGTAAGCAAGCTTTGGAAAGCCCACATGACAAGGAAAGAAATGAAGTCTTGCACCAAATTGGACACAGATCCTCCACAGCTCAGCCTGGTGAAGACGAGGTGACTACAGCCACTCTTGACATTCTGACTGCAAACTTATATGAGATGCTAAGCCAGAAGTATACTGTTAAACTGCTCCTAAATTCTCAACTCACAAAAATAAAAAAACCTATGTTGTTTCATCCATTATCTTTCAGGATAATTTAAGTGGCAATAGGTAACTATTTAAATTAAGTTACATTTTCTTACATGTACAGATATATTTCTTACCAATGTCATCATCTGTTTTGTCTGCAGGTTCTTTTTCAAGACATTCTCGAACAAGATCTCGCCCCTGCAATGGATCTGTTCGATCAATCTCTTCCTCTTCCTCTTCTTCATCCTCAGAATCAACAGGTCCTTCTGGAAGACGTGTTAAATCTACATCTCCTACCTCACTCTCTGTAGCCTACCAAAAGAAATCTCAGTCATTTATCATTTTATGTTAAAATAGGTCAGTGTGGATTAACCTAATTACTCCCCCCTTAGCAAATATTATAAGGGATTAGGCAACAATGTATGCTGTATTAAGAATGCAGTGAGCAGGGTTGGAGATTCAGCTCAGTGGTGCCATGCCTGCCTGGCAAGCACAACGTCATGAGTTTGATTCTGGGTACCAAACAAAACAAAATGAAAAAACAATGAGTAAAGCAGCTGCCTAGTATGCAGAAGGCCGCAGGTTCAATCTCTAGGGCAAAAACAAAAAATATAATGAAATGATAAATAGGCTGACCTTTCCATAGTGTGGTATCTAAGGGATAACTCTTAGCCAGTAAGTATAAATTGGTCAGGAGACTCAAACATCACTAACTATTTTAACTGTTTTCCAACAAAACACTTGTATTTTTCTTGAAAGCACAAAGCTTTCCAAAACATAAAGTTCAAGACTAAAGTACCCATTCAATATATGCAGAAGTATCAATCTATGACAGTTAGTGAAAAGATACTTTTTCATCCAGACAGGTATAGTCTAGTTGGACAGTTATTCATTCATGTGAGTTAAAAACAGAAGTCTGATGTGAATAAATACCAAATAGTTCCTCTGGTATAAGTAAGTGTGAAACAGGGAGAAAATGGTTAAAGGGGAAGTGGGGAGGGGAGGGGAAAGGAAATAAGGGAAAGGAGAGAATGTGTAAAAAGGAAAGAATGGAAACAAAGTCTTTGGAAATAGGGAAGGGTGAAGGGGGTGAGGGGAGGGCAGGGGTACGGGAAAAAATAAGAACTGAGACATACCATGTAAAGGTACACGATCCCAATGATAAATTTAACTATTGCTTGCTTTAAATATACCAATAAACTTAACGGGAAAAAATAAAAATAAGAACAGAAGCCTGTATGAGCCAAAATAAACCTCATCCCCTTTAAAACATAAAAACAACTCTGAAAAAGGGCACAATACTGAAAAACGCTAAAAAGCCTCCATCATAAAGGAACGAAGAATACCTATCATTTCTCCACCTTACTATTGTATCTAACAGTACAAAGAGCTGAGGTTAATCTTTACAATAAAACTAAACAACTCTGAAACATGTTAGTGTCAGATCTATAAAAGAATTAGCAGATTCTTTAAAATTATGAATTAAAAAGTCACTCAAAATAATGAAAAAAATTAAAATAATATTGTCCTTAATTATTAAGCAGTATTTCTGAATGATTTATGTTATAAATAAAAAAGCATGAATTTTATTTTACTTTATCCTGTGATACGGGGGATCAAACTCAGGACCTTGAGCTTGCCAGGAAGGTGTGGACCACTGAGCTACATCCCAGAACCAAAAAACATGAATGTTAAAAAAGTTACAGAAAAATGAATTGAACATACAAGAATTCCATAACAAAAAATAAACACTCAAATATGAGTAATAGTTAAGACTATGAAAGCTTCATCCAAATACAGTATTCATCTCATATCCTACTCTGCAGTTAAGTTTTCTCTATTAAAAAAGGGCTCTATATTCTTTTGGGCACTGTCATTTTTCTCTTTCTTAAACTCAAGATTCCAGAGGGCAACAGTCCTAGTCTGTAGCTCAAAGGTACAAAGAAAATTTTCTCTGGGTTTTTTTTTAACTGCAGCTAAAAGTGGAGCATTTGTCTTCTCTGGTTGCTGACTTACAAGACAAGTCAGAGCAGACAGCCTACAGCCACATGGAAATGCCTTTGTGTGGTGGGAGAAAACAGAACCAACACCCTGAGAAGGGGCAAGGGGGAAAATAGTGAGCAAGAGACAGAAATGGAGATGAGACAGACAAAAAGATACACAGTAACAAAGCAAAAGAAATACAGCTTGCAGGACAGAGAAAGAAAGAGCACATGTGCAGTCAAGAGCACCAAGACAGCCAGTCCCAAAGAGAAAGAGAGAAAAGAAAGCCATAGGGAGCCAAAAGATCAGAGAAGACGAACAGGGGTAGACACATGTATAAGTATCCAGTCTCCTTGAGACTAGAGCTGTCTTTGCCTTCCCCGTGGTTCAACAAATTATCCTTTTGGTTTTTGTTAATTTAAGTCAATGCTGTGATACCTGCCAATGAGAGAGCTCTGTCTAGTTTTTGTAAGAGCATGATTTACATTTCCTTTGATTTTTGCACAGCTTTAAGTAATAGCTGGTTAACAGTCTAAGTACCTAACTTGAGATCTTTAATATTAGAAGTTGGCTTTTCCCAGTCTGCTACAGTCTGGATATCTGTGTCATCTTAAATTTCTATTGTTTTTTTTTTTGTGGTCCAATGGATTGAACCCAGGACTTTGATATGCTAGGCAAGTGCTCTATCAATGAAACACACTGCCAGACTCCTTAAAACTCTTAAACTGAAATCCTACCCTCAAGGTGCTATTAGGTGACAGGGCCTTTGGGAAGCGATCAGGCTGTGAAGAACACAATTAGGTCACGAGAACCCTCATGAATAGAAGATTAGTGCTCTTACAGAAGTGGACACAGCTAGACAGTGTTATCAATGAACCAGAATGAGGGCTTTTACAAGATACCAAATCTGCTGGCACAGTGATCTCACACTTTCCAGCCTCCAAAACTGTGAGAAATAAAGTTCTGTTCATAAGCTATCCAATCTATGATATTTTATCATACAACCTAAATGGACGAAGATAAGTCATATGGGAGCAATCCTATCTCATGACTGAAAAGAATGATCTCATGAGGAAAAAGGGGAAAACTCAAGAAGGAAGTATAAATTCTAAAATGGGTAAACTTGAAGAAAGGGAAACAAAAACAATACAAACTGAAGTAAAGAGAGGGAGTAAAACTTAACAGAATCATTGAGATCAGCATGATAATATTAAGAGTGAGCTATGCTCCACAGTCATTAAGGTAGGCTATGCAGTTGACTTATCTCTGGCCTTTCAACTACTTTATACTACCAGCTGGACACAGCAAACCCTCAGAAACATGATACATGAACTAATAAGTCTAGGGGAAAAATATTCGCGACAGGACAAACGAGACAACTTTTTGTGTTTTTCTTTGCCTGTCATGTGAATGTTTTTTGTGTATGTGAAAATATAATGTGGTGAGGCAGACAGTCTGAGGCAACTTTCTGATGACTTGGCCTTCCCCAAATAAACTGGCAGAGGACATCCTTTTCCTGTCTGCTATCTAGATAGACAGGAATCTACAGTAAGAAACACCACAGGGTGAAATTAAGAATTAAAAACCAAATCTTCAAATTTAGGTCAAATATTAAATAAAAATGTATATGTTCAACATATCTCTTTAGTATCCACCCTCCCTAACCCCTGGTACTGGGAATCAAATTCAGGACCTTGTGCTCACCAGTTAGGCGAGTTGCCACTGAGCTACATATCCCTGGCCTCTGTGTTCTCATCTTTATAGTATTTCATTCAATATTTTTCATGAACCAATTAGCCCTTGCATTACCTCTTTATTTTCCTTGTCAGGGCAAGAATCCTGTAAAATTAGCGTTCTACAGTTATACAATCTGGGATGGTCCATTATATATCTCCACAACAGTGCAGACAGGCAAGCAAAGTAAGGGTGCCTTTGTCCTGTATAAGAAAGTTTAGCTTTCTGCATTTTCCTTGGAACCAATATTCATCTTTACTTTCAAATAAAACAAAAACTGCAGATTATTTCTTAAGTTCCAATACTGTGCTTGACTCAGCATGAAATGTAAGAGGAATATATAAATTGTTCTCCATAAATTTACTCTCATGATGTAAAATGTCAAGTTTGAAAGTCACTATTCAAAAAGCATAGTGGTAAGTGATATGATCCATAGAATAACTGTTCTAGGAAGGAAGACCTCTCTCTTCCTACTGGAGAAACATGGGAGATAAAAATGAAAATGTCATCTAAGTGGTGTTACAGGTAGAGGAACATAAGTACAAAAAGAACGTAGGAAAAAAGTAAACATGTTTAAGGAATAGTGTGTACCTTTGTCATGGAGCAGAATCTAGAATGTTTAGAATAGTGGACTATAAAACTAACCTTCAGATTGTGGTAAGAGGTATGAGGCTTGGAATTTGTAGTGAATATTATAAATGAGAAATGGTGACACACTGAAGCTTCTTAAAGAGAGGAGTAATTAGAGCCACCGTATTTTTGTGATATATGTCAAGTGGAAACTTAATAAAAACAGTAACATGCATGGCAGCATACACCTGTAATTCCAGCATTCCAAGAGGCTGAAGCAAGAAGATCACAAGTCTGAATCCCCTCTGGATAAGTTAGTGACACCATTTCAAAATAAGAAATAAAAAGGGCCGGGCATGTAGCTCAGTGAAAAGGTCCTGAGCTCAATCACCACCCCCCATACATTAAATAAAAGATAAAAGAAATTTTTGATGAGCACACAGATAATATTAACAGAAATGTTTAAAAAGTGTAAGCGAACATTTGATGGGGCCAGGCTGGCAGTGGTAACATGAACATACTAGCGGAAATGTGATACCAGAGTTCTTTTGAGATTGACACTAGAGTTGTGAAGCAGGAAACTGTTTCAATGAAAGATTTTTAGGAAGACATTTACCTATTTCTTACATAGAAAATAAGAAAAATAGGTAGGGGATGAATGTGTGCCACCGGGTACTTAAGAACGAGTTAATGAAAAAAGAAATCCTTTTGTTCAGGCGTCAATATTTCACAATCATATAGCTCTCAAAACAGACTGAAATATGGTAAATAAAAAAACAGAACCTAGGAAGCATTTATTCTCTTGAGTCATCTTTGAGAATGCATAAAGCATTCTCTCCATGAATACTGTAACATCTTAATGGATACTTTTAACTTTTAAGCTAACCTGATTAGAAAAATACTCAGGATAGAACCATTACTACTTGCATTTTTCTCCCAGACGGTGGTAAATACCTTACACTGAAGTTTCATTGAGTCAAGAGATTTTACTTTTTAATCACAAGTTACACAACCTCTGAAAAAGCAAACAGGAGTAGAGCCACATACTTGGCTATATAAAAAAGTATAAACAGTTTTCTTGCTAAGAAATGCTATTATATTTCTCTTATCTCTTTGCCTCAATTCTCCAAATTAAAAATACATCGTTTCATAAGGTTTTTCTTATATTGTTACATGCTATGTGTTTACATTTAAAATGTCTACAATGATGAAATTCATATAATCAGACAAATCAACTGTATTAGCAATGTACACCTGTACCTAATGGGTATATTCAGAGCTTTAGTAAGTGCTCCAAAGGTAGCATGAGGTAAAAGGAGATTATTCAATTTTTCTTTCCTTTGTTTTAGCCCCAAGGATCTGATGGAAACACACACACACACACACACACACACTTTCACCTGTATTATTTACTTTATCCATGGATTTTTATGACCTGCAGGTCTAGAAAGTGCATTTTAAAAGGTATATTATTATTTTGATTCTGTTCTAATTCCTCTTAACATTTAATAATTATTCCTTTAACCTTTTCCCACATTTTTTCCATTTTAACACTATGTTGTTTACATCAAGATTTGTCAAATATACAAATAATAATGCTCACTTAATGAACATATTAAAACTACCCATGAACCTCCCACCAGAAGAAATAGACTGGTAACAGTGTGGACTAGTGATCGTGAATTCAGATTGATGGTATGCGTATACAAACATAAAAACCTACATGATCAATATATATCAATATATGCTAGTAGCAGTGCAGTGCTTTTTTGTTTTTACTTGAATCTTTATGGTGTTTCTACTTTTCGGGTATTACTCCAGAGTTAACCATAAAAAAGAATTTGAGATGTAAAGGTACAAGATCCCAATAATAAATGTAACTGTACTGTATACCTAAAATGTACCAATAAACTCAATGAGAAAAAAAAAAAGAAAAAAAAAAGAATTTGAGGCTGTGGGATTAGCTCAGTGGTGCTGCCGCCTGCCTAGCAAGCGTGAGGCCCTGAGTTCAATCCTCCATGCCCACCCTAAAAAAGGTTTGAGAATTTTTATATTCTTTCATTTGATTACTCTTAAAAATTTTTCTTACATTTTTGCATTTTGACTTTAGCATTATCATGTTTTTAAGTTTCTGCAATCCTATTTTGGTTTTACAAACTTCAATACTTCTATTACTTTTACCTGTTCAATTTCCCTAAATTAATTAATTACACATTCACATTAATTAATTACACATTCACATGTTGAGTTGCATCATCTTTTAAAAAAATGTATGATTTTGCTTATATGACCTTCTGGAAAATGCAAAACTGTAAGGACAGAAAACAGATTGGCAGTTGAGAGGTGGATGGACTGACTATGAAGAGGGATGGGGTACTTCCCGAGGTGATGGAAATGTTCCATGTCTTGAGGTAGACTACCCCTAAAGGAGGGAGTGTAAAATTCTATTGTAAGTAAATTATACATCAATCATTATGAAACACACGTATGTAATTAATAATCTAGCAAGGACAATTGAGATAACTTCTCTGGGAATGAGATGACATTAAGTGGAGAGCCAAATACAACTCCCCATTTCCTGAGTGTGAAATTATCTTCTTGGGACTCCATGGATCAAGCAGGCTTGCAAATATATCACCTATTTACAGCTTGTCCAATCTTAAAATGAATCTTATAAGGCAGAATGAATTGTAGAGTGCTGGTACAAGTGCAGGGCTTCAGAGGCTTCTCTAGCATCTGTGAAAGATACCAGCTGCACACAGCCCATCCTCTAGTTCATGGTAAAGCATTAGCCTTTACAACAGACCCTGAATATCAACCTTTACCAGATCTTCTTATCCGTTCTTTCACAACTATCCAGGGATCTGCTCTTTGCCCCAAAAAGGTAACTACTCATACGAAAGTTTGTCAACACCATGTCTCTATGTACAGTATCTCCTAGCAAGATCCAGACATTCCCACTCACCCGAAAAATCTATAAGCGTCACATACTGCTTTGGACTTGATTAATCCAAGGTCAGTTTTTCTCAGGGTTCCTCTCCTGGAAAAAGAGAGCTCACTTTTGATTTTTTATGTATATAACTCCTATTTCTTCCATAGGATACATCTTTTGGGGAAGAACAGAAGGCACTGAGTCCAAAAATTACACAAATACAGTAAGTGGCTCCAGAGCCAGTGCATCACCTTAATTTTTCTTTTTGAAAAAAAAATTTTTTGGGGGGTAGGGTCTCAATATATAACCCAGACTGGCCTTGAACTCAGGATACTTGTACCTCAGCCTACCAAATTCTGGGGCTCTGGGTGTGCGCCACATACCTAGCTTTTCAAAATTCCTCATTCCATCTACTATGAAATGACAGTCAGGGAGATGTAGATGACCACAGTAATGACTTATGGTGAGAAAAGCCACTCATTAACCAAAAAGTGTAAGTTGTGACCCGTCATCTTGCCTCTATCTACAAGCTTCCATTCACAGAGGAAGGCTGATTTTCTGAAAGTATCTAAAAATGGGTATCTCAATAGTATCACAGTTTCAAATGTTTCTCTCAGACAGTAAGAAGCTATTTCTACAGACCTATAATAATGTGTATGGCAGCCACTAGACACATGTGGCTAGTGAGCACATGAAATATGTTGGTCTGAACGGAGATATATTGTAAGCTTAAATGGACTTTTGAAAACACAGTATACAAAACAAGAATGCCAAGTAACTTATCCATGGTGTTAAAATATTATGTTGAAATTGTAATATATGGTTATATTGTTCTAATGAGATATACTACTAACATTAATTTTTACCTGTTTCCTTTTATGAAATTCTTATTAATTTTTCTGTTTCCACTATAAAATTTAAAATTAAACATGTAGTTTACATTATTTTTTTGTTTTGTTCTTTGAGACAGGGTCTCATTATGTAGTTGAGACTGACCTGGAACTATGTAGCCCAGGCTGGTCTCAAACTCACAGCGATCCTCCTGCCTCAGCCTCCCGAGTGCTGGGATTACAGGCATGCGCCACCATGCCCGGCATTAAGTTTCTTACACAATGCATCTAAATTCTTGATTAAATCAAGACTCAATACCAAGTATACTCCAGTTATTTTATCAAAAATATCTCATATTCTATACTCATAGTCTCTGAGAAGAGAAACCCGTGGGCTCCAGAACATAAAGCACTACTCCCAGGAAGCAGCCGTGATATCTTACATTGATTGAGACATCAAAGAAATTTATCAGGATAGTGAAACACCTCACGGGTTTGAACCTAATTCAGGTTTAATGTCAGCAGAACTGTGTGATGTTTCTATCAGTGTATGGGCTTTTCCAGACCTCTCTATTACAAAGATCACTGAAAATCTCAGTAGGTTGTTTCTATTGGGTTTTTAAAAATGGAAAAGTTCATAAACATACTATCTTCTATTTAATTCCTATAACACCACAATAGAGGCAACACAATACAAAAGCAACTCTAATTTTAATCATAACTTCTAAGTATAGAAAATTAAACAATTATAATAAAAATCAACATTTTATAAGTTTAGTTTAGTTCTTTCACACCCCCACCCTCAGCCTTTGGTAGTCCTGGGGAATGAATCCAGGGCCTTCGAACTGAGCTACATCCTCAGCCCTTTTTTATTTTTCGTTATTTTTTTGAGACAGGGTCTTACTATATTTTCCAGGCTGGGCTTAAATTTGCAATGTGTCTGTCTCAGCATCCCAGAGTGTACAGACTATAGGTGTGTGCCACCACACCAAGTTCAAGAATCCTTCTTAAATGAAAGCAAGAATCGCATATTTATACTGATCCACCTAGGCAAAAGAGAATACCATAGGCATACTGCTGAACTATACTGAGTCCTTCTCAAAAGATAGATTATCGCTTTAATGAGGTTTGCAAATTCAAAATAGTATGTGAAGGGATAGCTTTCCAAAGATCATATGCTTGAATTTCACACCCTAATTTAAAGACACATGACCATGTAATGCATAGGCACAGAAGATTCTGTCTGGTAAAAAGCTGTACGCACATCATACAAATTCCCAAGGTTATTACCTGATAGATATCAGATAGACTGCTGCTTCCAGAGTCACTAGCAATGCTGCACCCAGATTGACTGGAAGACACATGAGTCACCTGTGGATGAGGGCTGTCTGTGAGATGCATCTTGGTAAGATCAGCTGGAAGCTGAAAAAGAAAAATACTCTGAGTTGTCCTAATGTCAGTCTTTACCTTATTTTTAAGGAGCTTATGACATAATATGACTTTTTTGGGGTTTTTTTTAATTGAATTTATTGGTACATTCTAGGTAGTCAATACAGTTACATTCATTACTGGGATCTTGTACCTTTACATGCCAGGTCTTGGTTCTCATTTTTTCCCCTTGTCCCCACCCTCCCTTCACCCCCTCCTCCCCTCCCCACCTTCAAACACTTTAATTCCATTTTTACATTTTCTCATAGTTTTTTCCTTTTCCCTTATTCCCCTTTCCCTATCCTTCTCACTGTCCCTACACCTTTGGTCCTTTTCTTCCTATTTCACATTGCTAATTGTCCCGTTAGGATCTCGAGTACTATTTTAGTTTTTCACACCACAGAAACATTTCGGTATTTGCATATGTGTGACTTATTTATTTCACTTAGGAGTATATCCTCAAAATGTAGACTTTTTTTATTTTTTTAAGACAAAGACTTGCTATGCATTTTTGGAAGGGCTTAACTCACCACGCATCCCAGGTTGACCTTAACCTTGTGGCGATCCTCCTGCCTCAACCTCTCAAGTGCTGGGATTACAGGTGTGCCACCACACCGAGCTTGAAATTTCATTTCCTATCCTAAAATTTTCATTCTTAGCCAAAGTCATTCGAAGTAGTAAGAAAACAAGGAGTAGTCTCTAAAAGTATTAGGCAATTCCAACAGTAACAAACCCAGTGAAAAGTTTTCAAAAGAGACTGCCATTATTAATGGTATTTCTGAGGAAAAATTTCACCCTTTTCTTCCAAGTAAAATTATCAGATATTTCCGTTGTAAAGGTTAGGTATGTTATGAGGAAGCAAGTGCATTCCCCCCCGCCATCTTTCATACATAATGGTTGATAACTCTAAAATAAAACATTGCCCTGGATTAAAGTACAGCCCATGGGAGTAGGACTTTAGTAAAAAATGGGACTATATTCAATATCTCCCAAACTTCATAACCATCTTGACACTTAATGTTTTATTATTTTGTGGCTGGCACTTGGGAAAATTATTATGATCAAAATGATTTAATGAACACCTGTGTAAGGTGCAGGCACATTAAGAATCACAAGAAAATCACTTCGTGGCCTTTTAGCTAAGATCAAGTGTAAGAAACACAAGAAAGCAACCCACCACTCCATCTTTAATATGGTCACATCTTTACCAGGGATGCAGACTGCATATTTCATACCATAAAACAGATAGCTCATAAAAAAATGAGGTAAGACAAGAAACCAACCACTGCACCATGGAGAATCTCTCGAGAACAGTGAATGTTTTATAAAGGAGGTATAATTATGTTTTATCTGAGTAATTTCTTTGCAACCTGATAGTCAGGACCATTAAGACCAGTCAATTTATTTTTAAAGACAAGGTTTGGTTTCATATGGAAAACATTAAAGAAACACAACTAGTATAAATTAAACATTCTAAAAGAGAAAATGTTCAAATATGAATTCTATATAATCTGTATCAAGAGGAGTTACTCTAGTTAAGAAACTACAGGGAAAGAAATTAAGTCATGAACTTCCACAATGAAAATGGTGGGCTAGGTAACTCACGTATATCCTGTATCTATGAAAAACCTACAACCCACACTATACACACAAGGCAGCATCTGGCCTTTGCGGTTGCTTTAACTGCTCCCCCCCCCCGCAAGAATATTTTCTGATTCCTGAATGGCCAACAAGCCAAGTATGTAGTTCAAGCTGAGTATGTATTGCTATGTAGTGTGGATGACTTTCAACTGACAATATAGTCCAGGCTGGCCTCAAACTCACAGCAATCCTCCTGCTTCAGCCTCCTGAGTACAGGGATTACAGGTGCGCACCACAATGTCTGGCACTCAAAGAGTTTCAGGAACTCCAAGCAAGATGAATATGAACAAAACTGTACCTATTCACATCAGGGCAAAACTTTTGGAGAAAGAAAAGCAAAAAGACATTTTGCCAATTAAAAAATCATGTCACATCAGGAAATTCTGTTAATAAACAAGGACTTCATCAATTGCTCAGAAGTGACATAATTTCAAAAAAATTTAAAAAGGAATAAAATGATGAAAGACTGGTGAGGACTGCACAACTGCTAGGGGAATTCACTGCTCCCTGACCTCTAGCACACTCGGTCTTCATCTGAGCAGACCTGTGAGGATCACCCAGCCATGCAGGCGACTCTCCCACCCCTCTTGCTTTTGGGCCTCTTGGTTGTGCCAGTACCAGTATCCACACTGTAGAGACACAGGTGGTCATAAAGGCCATTTTACTGAGTTCCAAAAGACAGAACTGAAGTGAACAACTACTATAAAGGCACATCAGACCTCCGTAGTTGCTAAGTTAGAGGGATCATCATCTTCCACAAGACCTTGTTCTATCTTCAGGGGAAGGGCAGCTGGAACCTACAGTAGAACCTTGCAGAGTTCAACCCTGCAGGTAGTCAGGGAGCTCAACTTGGGCCTTACAGCCAGAATTCAGCCTGAATCTTAGGTGTCTGTCGCAGCAAGCTGAGCCTAATTGACTTAGTTCTGCACGTTGCTGCCCATATTGTCTATTGTGACAGCAGTTGTACCCCTAAAGGGGCTCTTCAAATTTTTCTCCTTTTCCTCTATTTTTACTTTTAACTTTTAAAATTTTATTTTTTCCCACTCAGTATATTCTTGCTTTTTTCTTTCTTCTTTATCCCACTCAGTCTCTTGTTCCCCCATGTATTCTTCATCTTCCTTTTTGTTCCTGTTCATGCCCTAATTCAGATTTCTTCTCTTTTCTACTTTTTCCTTCACTTGATTGTCATTAGTTTCAAAGGAAAGTGAATAAAATTTACAGCTTCCCTATTGCATTAAAGTTGTTCTATTACTGTCTTTGTTCTTGCACTCTGTTTTTCCCTCTGGTCTTCAACAGTTTCCTATAGTTTGTGTGATCATCGTGTGTACTCTGGCTTCACCTGAAACCTTCTCCTATTCTTTTAACTATCCATTCCTCTCCTCCCAACTCCTTCTACGTCCCCATCCTAAAGGGCAAAGTTGCTAATATTAAAGAGTTTATTCACTATAAACATATTTTCAGCTCATCCTTGATTTTTTATTTAATTCATATGGTTAAAGGTGACAGATTGATAACTACCACAAATGGTCAGTTTCGAAGCTGTGGTTGATGCTATTGCACTACTGATTGTATCAACTGGGCTAAAAAGGGTTGTGATTGATTTAATGAGTTGTGCTTTCTGATATTATGAAAATGAGAGTGTCTGTGAGTCATTAGACACAAAGCCTAAAGAGCAACTCTATCAGGAAGATCAAAGTACTAACCCAGGAATTAAACCAACAACAGCCCAACAAAAATAAAAATGAGAAATGCTTAAGCAAGGCACAATTACAGACTTCCAGTTATCAACGGCAAACTCTAGGGAAAACAAGGTGGAAAATCTTGACAACCACCAGGACACCCTGAACTCAGCACAGGAAGTAATAAAACAGATCAATGAGGCTCTAGAAAAATTCAAAACAGAAATAATTTCCCAGATAACTACAGAGACGGTGAGCACAATGAAAGACATGATTAGAGACTCTAGAACAGAAACAATCTACAGAAAGCATTCTCAGCAGAATGAAGAAATGTGATAATAGCATTTCAGATATAGAAGATAGGATTGCAGTCAGTGACCACGAAAGGAGGGATCTCTTAAAAACAGTAAGGGTTCTTGAGAAATCGACCCAACAACTGCTAGATGATGCAAAGAAGAATAACATGACTAATAGGAATCCATGAAACATCAGGAGAAAGTATAAATGACTTTAAAAAATTGTTCAAAGAATTAATGACAGAAAACTTACCAAACAGGGGAAGAATTTGACATACAGATAATTGAAACATATAGGACTCCAATTACACACGATAAAAAAAAAAAATCTACACATAGACATATTGTAGTCAAGATCCTGGAAACCCAACAGAAGAACAAAATAATGAAAGCAGTTAGAGAAAAGAAACAAAACGCACAGGAAAGTCCATCAGAATCACAGCAGACTTTTCAACACAAACCTTCAGGTCAAGGACAGCCTGTAGTGAGGTATTTCAAGCTGCAAGAGAAAACAACATCCAACCTAGAATGATGTATCCTGCAAAACTCTCTTTTAAAATGGATGGGGAAATAAGATACTTCCATGACAAAGAACACGTGAGGGGGGAAAAATACCAATAAACTCAATGAAGGGGGAAAAATAAAAGAACACCTGAGAAACTTCATGAATACCAAACCAGCACTACAAACAATTCTAAACAATATACTAGAAAAAGACAATGAAGGTCACATTACCATGAGGCCCAATGCAGCAAATCCATTAGGCAAGGCAAGAAAGGAAAGGGAGAGGGGGAAAACAACAACAGGACAATTAACATGACAATGGTAAGTCAATACATATCAGTTATAACCATCAATATTAATGGCCTCAATTCACCAATCAAAAGAAATAGACTGGCAAAATAGATTAAGAAGCAAAGTCCAACAATATGTTGTATACAAGAATGTATACAAGTTCAAAAGAAACTCACAGACTCAAAGTGAAAGGATGCAAAACACTTCTCCAAGCAACAGGAGCCCAGAAAAGAGGGGTAGCTATTTTATTCCCACATAAAGGAAATTTCAAACCAAAATTGATTAAGAGAGACAAAAAAAGCCATTATATCCTTGTAAAGGGAACAATCCAAGAAGAAGAGATGACAACCATAAATATATATGCACCAAATATAATGCCCACAAATATTAAGGGACAGGAAAATCCAAATAAGCACTAATACAATTGTAGTGGGGGACCTAAACACCCAACTATCACAAATAGACAGATCATCTGGACAAAAAAGTCAACAACAAATTACTAGAACTGAACCAAGCTTTTGAACAAATGGACTTAATACATGTCTACAGACTATTCCACCCCACTAAATCAGAAAACACATTC